TGAAAAGAATGAAGAACAGGGAATTACAACAACTAATAAAAGAAGATATTGGAAAGAAATACAAGAGAGTATCTACACATTCCAAAATCTTGAATTACTTCGATTGGACTATTGCTCTAATTTAAATATTAGTTTAATATCAAATAAATTAAAGAGTATTGAAGTAATTAATTGTAGAGAATGTAAAATTAATATTAAATCAGATTGTATTGAAAGATTGAAATTAGAAAGAAATAAACAAACACAAATCAAATTATCAACAAATAAATCAAACAATATTTGTATTAAAGGTTTTGAGATTTTTAAATTAAAAATAGAATCAAATAATGAACAAAATATTGAAATATTAGAAGGAAAACAGTTTAATGTAAAATCAAAATGTCCAATCAATAAACTGATAGTATCACAATCTAAACAAGTGAATATTACAGGAAATGAAAGATGTAATACAATGAAAGTTATTGAATCTACAATCAATGAAATTGATATTAAACCAAAAAGAATTATATTTAAATCAATTGAAGAATACATTAAAGTATCTCTGAAAGAAGCAGAAGAGATATATATTGTATCAATGAAAGATTATATCTTTGAAGAATTATTTGATAAATGTAAGAAATTATGTATTGATGAATGTGAGAATTGTCAATTCATAATCAACAAGAATCAAATCAAAGAAATGAAAATAACAAAATGTAAAAATACAGAAATCACAGGGAAGTTAGATAATATTGAAGAAATCATCACAATAGATAATGAAGAATGTAATATTCCAGAAACAAAGAATGTTATAAAAGAAGATACAGAAATAACAGAAATGGATAATAGAAATAAAGATATAGAAATAGAAACAGATAAGAAATATGTTATAATAAGAAATATTCATGATCGTAATATTAAAATTAGAAGTAATATTAATAGTGATGTTCAATAGAAAATTGTAAAAAATTCAGATTTGAAGGAGAATATGAAGAATATGGAAATGTCAAACTCATTAATTGTATGGGTAATGATACTCCATTTATTGGTGAAAAACTATATCAAGAATTGGATGTGCTGAATCAGTAATGATTAACAAATTTGAGAATAACTATTTTAAAATTGGT